TATATATATATATATATATAAACTGTTCCCTGTTGGTGGAATGACCTGCCCAACTCAATCAAAAAAGAGTCTTGAACCATCTTCAAGAAACGGCTAAAGCTTGATCCTCTAACACTAGCATTCTCTATTCAATTTCTTGATAATAGATAAACATGTATAGTGATGAAAGCTAAAATATTAAATGTCATCGATGTATATTTACTGAGCAATCCACTATTTTGTAGAGGGTGGTCAAATGATTTCCCCCCGAGATTCTGAGCCAAATTACAGGGGGATAAAAATGACTTTAGAAAGATGGCAGCATCATGTTATTTACAAAGAGATAAGTCTATTAGTAAAATCTATTGACTTTAGTAAGTTTCGACACTGAATGACCCATATGTGCTTAATGGCATCTTTTTACTAAGTAGCCTATTATTAAAGAAGACACTGTCATTGATACTCAACGATATTCGACATTACAGTATAAATTAAAGACTTCGTTTTTAACATGTAAAATTTTTCACTGCTTTGACTGTATGCAGCAACTCTACACTGCTTTTGCAATTTAAATGTACAAATATTCGTCATTCCAATAAAGCACCTAAAAACAGAGAGAGAGAGAGAGAGAGAGAGAATAATCACATTTAGGGAAGTGTAAGATGTGCTAGTAATGGGTCTCTCACCACATCAGTCCTGAGCTCCTCTCTGACAGCTTGGATGGTGTCTCTACACTCCGCCAGCAGGCTCTCATAGAGGCGCTCCTTTGTCTCTTCATTATCTGCCTGTGAACAGTAACAGACTAAACAGTCAGGATACCTGCTCTTATATATTGTGTGTATAACTGTAGAGTGAAATTTATTTTTCAAACTGCATGTGCCCTATAGCCATAATAGTGTTTTTGCATTAAAACTTATCGTGAAGACTTATGTCTGATATATTAGGTTAATTTGGTTTAGTGTGGAAGGTGTTTCCTGAATTGTGCACCAGCCTAACAAGATGCGTAGTACAGGAGTGATCGAATTATAATTATTATGTTAAGATTTTAACAATTAACACTATGTTACTATGAGTAGATTATGAGCAGATTTTTTTGTGAAAGCCTAAAATCAGACTTATAGAAAGCTGTAGAAGGTGAGGGATGTTTATTTTGTGTATGCTTATGAGTAATAGAAATAAAGTAAAAAATAAAGTTGACCTTGCTAACACTGTCACCTATATGTTCCACTCCCTAGATCGTAACAATACATTCATTATGGAATTAGAAAGTTCCAGTCGCTTGGTGGGGACAAAAACTCAACAAGGTTTAAATGCACTGTAACAACAACTAGGGACAATCAAATTTTTCATCTTTCAAGATGCATCTTTAATTTTTTGTGAATGTTAATATAATAATTAATGTAATATGTGCCAAATACCAAAGTAGTAACAACAAGTATACTGTTACTGTTAGGGCTGCACGATAAATCGCATGCGATATTTAACGCGCATCTTGTCAGAAATCCGGTTCTGTAATCAGCGGTAAATCTCCATCACCTGCGGGCTTTCACATTGAGCAGCATTAACTACACAGAGCCATTGTTCACTGACGAGCTGCGCAAAAAATCGCGCGAATATGAACGTGGTTTTGCGCAACTCGTCAGTGAACAACGGCTCTGTGTAGTTAATGCTGCTCAATGTGAAAGCCCGCAGGTGATAGAGATTTACCGCTGATTACAGAACCGGCTTTACTGATAAGATGCGCGTTAAATATCGCATGCGATTTATCGTGCAGCCCTAGTTACTGTACTGGTATTTCAGTTGTGATGTAAAATTAAGCACGAGTAAACTAGATAATACTGCAAAACTCCACAGTCAAAGAGAGCAAAATGTGTTGAAAATAAAAGACCAGTGTGAACACAGAACAAGTTTCTGAACCATTCCTGTTCTAGCAGAGACTAAGCTAATTAAACAAGGACCATATCAAAACAGCATGAGAAGGTCATAGGATTGTGTTATTTCATTACCATACATTTAAAAAAATGTATAATGAAGAAGCCATCAGATTGGGATAAGAAAAAAGCAAGCACAGAGGAAAAAATGTAAGGTTAATTTGATGGTTGTGGTACAGAATGAGAACACCATGAGTACACCATGAGAAACTAATATGAGCACACACACACACCCACAGAGAGCTGCGGTCACACCTAAACAACACCTTGCATGACTAACTGCAACTGGGTGAACCAGAATTTCGGTGAAAGCAAGACCGAATGTGGAAAAAAAGGGTAAGAAGTTGTGCTGCAGGTGGAGCACAAACAGATGAAACACAAGGAGCACAATCCCTGAGAATTGTTATCCTGTATAGAATGCAGTCTGGTTAAGATAGGACAGCATACCACAGGCATTAGCATGCTCAGGGGTGAGGTGTAGCCTGGGTGGGGAAGATACCGATAACCATTTACTAATAAACACACAAGAATTTTTAAAGCCACATACATATTCGTTAGCTGTATATAAGATGGAGAGAGAGCATCTCCATGAGGAGAGCACAAAACACTGCACATATTAATCATTGTTAATATTTTTTGTATCTCCACTTTTGACTGCCCTTGTTTCGTTATGTACACATCAAAGACACACTGGTACATCCCACATGAAAACAAGGGCTAAGCACACCCACACCAGAACACACACACACATTTTACTTGCAGTTATATTTTTTAATATTCATATAGTGTAATGTTTGTCCTAATGTTGAATACTTTGATTGGATGCCTAAGACATCCTGTATATAACTACATGAATCTGTGGTATAAATATGTGGCATAACGTCAGAAATGCTAGGCTGAAGTTTATTTTTAATCATGTGTCTGAGTGACTGAAAGAAAGTTTTTTTATACATAAACTGTTTTGTGCATTTTTCTAAACATGCTGCTGTTTTTTCAAAATATATTTTATTTAAAAATACAGCAGTGCTAAGCATTTTGTCCTCAGAGGCAACACAGGCAAGTTTTTTTTTGTTTTTAATCTTACAGCGTGTTTGTAATAAACATCAAACCAGCGTTTAATGCTTTTAAGACACCAAGTGGACCACTGACTGAGTGTTGCTAATAAATGTAAACTTACTCAACCTTTAGTCTTATGGAATACAAGTAATAATAGTTTGATGAAGCCGAGTTGCCATAAATGCATTTACACCACAAAATTTCAAATGCATAGATATTTTAATAAGATTAATGTTTTAAATATTTTTGAACAAACAAGTTAAAAATGTTGGGAAAAATGCAATACTTTTAAATATGAAACCAAACCACCAGTAGATGACGGTAAATGACTGTTTTAATGAGCGAGTCATTAGTTACTCATTCAAACAGCTGATTCATTCAAAAACGAGGCAAGTGACTACTGTCTTTATGAATCGGTTACTGAATCATTGACTCACTGAATGAATCCACGTTTCTGAACGAATCAAGTATCGAAACACCGCTGTGTTGCTCGGAGTCACAAAACAGTTCTGCTGTAGCTTTGATTGAAACTTCGTCAGCGAACTTGAGCAAAAACAGTCAATATTGTATTACAAATTGCAATATTGTATTGCAAATTACAAAAAACTTTGTGTCCGTTTAACTCACAATGAAGAACTTCCACGCCGATGACATGTTTACATGCGAATGTGAGCGAGCACCGCTTGCGCTCTGCCTCCGCGCCGCCAGCGAACCCGCCCGCGTTTTGCCGCTTTCCGCATGTCTCCCATTGAAGCCCCGTTCACACTGCCAGCGACACACAGCGACATGCTCCCATTCATTTTCAATGGAGAGCTGGCGACTTCCGGCGACACGAGCGACAGTGACCGTTGGCGACAGAATGTGGGCGTGTCAAGCGAAGCGAGTCAAGCGACAAAAGTTAAAGGGTTATTAGTTCACCCAAAAATGAAAATTAGCCCACAAATTATTCACCCTCAAGTCATCCTAGGTGTATATGACTTTCTTCTTTCAGACGAATCCAGTCGGAGTTATATTAAAAATTGTCTTTGATCTTTCAAGCTGTTTAATGCCACTCAGTGGGTGTTATGAGGTCAGCTTTGCGCTCACACGTCACCATCTCGAGTGCAGGCAAATAAATAACTCCTTGAATGTGAGCAAAAGGGAAAAGATTGTGTGTGTATTTGGTCTATTTAAATTAGTCTATTTATTTTTCACCATCCCAGCTTTTCTAACACAGGACAGATTTCCTGAGCGATTTCACTGTTTTATATGATTTTACTGTAACCACATACATAGATATAAAAAACATGATGTGATTGCATTTTATATCCAGATATGTCCTGATACGCAGTCTACCAATAACATTAGAGCGACAGCAGTAGGAACGCCCACAAGTGTCTTCACAGCACAGAGTCTAGAGACACACAGCGAAAAAGTCGCTGGCAGTGTGAACGGGGCTTGAGAATGAACTAGACACTCGCGATTGCCGCGTACCGTGTGAAAGGGCCTTAAGTGTGCCGTCAAAACAGACCGGCTGTGAGATGAGGTGTGTTCGATTTGAAGCAGCAGCGCGCAGACTGATCGGACATCAAAGTACCGCGAGAGTGATTCGAATGCATGCGGAGTAGTGATGTTTCGTTCGTGAACTAATCGTTCTTTTTGAATGAATCTTTTAGATGAACGAATCGTTCTCATTCACGTAATTCATTGACTCTTATTTCTCGTTCACTGAATTTCCTCCCTCCAGAGCAGCGCGGCGCTATTAGCAGCGCATGCGCAGCTCGGTGAACCGGGTAACTCTGTGGACTATTTCATCCTGTCAAAGAATGACTAAACAGGGTTTAGTGGAAAAACTCCAGGGTTTTGAGTGGTGAGTGGTTTTTAACTAACTAAAACACCTTGGATTGGCCACTGTCTCCATGAAATCAACAGATATGTCTGTGATTGGCTACATCGCACAAAACTGCAAAAAGCTGTTGTAAATAGAAACCTATGACCAGAGGAGATAATAATATGAAAAGCCCAGGGATTGGTTACATGCTTGTGATGGTAGGAAACGGGGCAGTTTCAAACTTTTTTTGTACACCGCAGTATTAAGGAGAAAATGCTCAGCAATGGTGTTGACAGATGAATTAGCACATGGTTTGCCTTTGAGCATATTAAAAACATCAGATAGACATGTAATCAATGTTAAAAACTTGATTTTGTCTATATATACCAAATATATCAAAATTAAGCAATTACCACGCTGAAACAAGCTGTTGCAATTGTTGTGGTTGCGTTGTTTCAATTTCATCTACTTTGGGACCTGACTCAGACTCACACATATATGGCTCTATAACAGTGCTTTCCATCTTAAGTATGGTTTTGATTTTTCTGTTTTCTTTCAGTTGGTTTTGGTATTCCATTCATGTTTAACCATGCTTTGCTTAGGGTACTGCTGCTCCCACACACTGGTGCATAGCCTCATACTTGGAAAAAAGGCTACCACTCTGATGCTCCCTCACACCGGTGCGGTGTTAATTTAGTCAACGAAGACGACGAAAAATATTCGTTAACGAACATTTTTTCTGTGACTAAGACGAGACGTTGACGAGCTAAAACTAATATCTGATGATAAAAACTATGACGAAATGTATGCCGCGTCTTTGTTAACAAGATGAGATGGGACTATAATGTTATTTGAGGACTACAGGACATTCAAAGTACATCCTGTAGGCTACTGTCTTGTCCTTCAAAATGTGCGTCCCTGTCATTGGATTGCAATCGGATAAGGGGCGTGTGCATATCTAGTCTCAGTATGGCAGCCGCAGTGGATG